AAGGGACCTTTGAGCCTGAGTTCTCAAAAAGGGGTTCGATAATGCAATTAGTGACCTTCCGAAGAGGTGAGACCACCAAAAAAAAACAGCGGAAAAAAGTTTGAGCTTCAGCTTTCGAAAAGCGCTTAGTTTGGAACGGCCTTTCATAACTATATAGTCACCGAAAGATCAAATGCAGTAATGAAAGCGTCAGAAAATTGTTGCAAGCAAATCTGAAGTTCGTATAGCTTCTAAAACACGTAGAAAAGCAACATTCGTCAGGAAACGGGAAACGGATGATGGATTATGTGGGAGGATCCACCTACAGCGGGCCGACTAATTTGCAATACTATGATCAATCCATTGAGAGAAAAACAAAAATAATAAAAATAAAAATAGACATGGAATCTTTTGAACTAGTAAAAATGAGTGGTGGCCCCAAGAATTTCTAAACAACAAAAAAGTGGAAAGAATCATCTGTTATAATAAATTTATCAAAATTAGGCTTGAAAAAGGTCAAAAAACGAGAATTTCATTTTCAGCCAAGTTAAAATCATATAGCTAGAATGAAGAGGACCATGAAATTGTGATATTTTTGCATAACATTGAACTGGTGGTGAGAATAGTACTAGCCCGTCGATTGTTGATGATACATACAAATACTGACCTTTCACAAGTCACGGGCTAATGTGACCCGTAGCCGTTGAGATGTCATCGATGAAGGTGGGTGTTGGCACCTTTGTTGCGCCCTCTATTTTTCACTAGAGGGCCCATAGGACAATAACAACAGGGTGGGCTAGAACAATCACATGTTATTATCGATTCAAGCCGCCCACTTCTTTCAATAGAGTGTGTTACTAGTAATAACCTTTGCCCTTATTTGCTGCGTTGAGCTTTAACAATAAGAAACTTCAAGACAGTTGACAGAAACACCCTTAATTTTTTAAAAGCTTCTTTATCGAATTCAAAGGATACATTTGTTTATTTGTTTATTTGATTACTTGAGCAAGAAATGAATTTTTCATTCATTGCTACTCATTAGTAAAAAAGGGAAACATCGTCAAAATCCAACCCCAGGATCAATTTAGGTGGGTGAACCCTATTAGTGGGTAGGCTAGAGCTGTTCGCGAAGGTCGCAGATGTGGCGCTCTCCTGGCTCTAAAGTGGGCAACACGGGCCTGGAGCCTTACCAATATCGCTCGACCCCGAGTCAACCGTTGCATCTGACCCATTTCAAAGTTTTTTCTTGATCCCCTACCATGGTGTTGAATGCGAACCCCTTCTTATTTGCAGTCACTTACGATTCTCGGCAGATTTGAATCTACGAGCTCAAAGTACAGGACCTGCCATGAATGGCCGGCCCTCTGATGTCACAGCAATACTGAAAAGGTTTTCAAACGCATTCGCACATTGAACCACAGACGTGTGCGCGGCGCACAGGGCGAGATTCGTTAAGGCTTTGTCAATTTGCAAATTTAATTTGTCATAAGCGAAAATATCCCTTCGAGCACTCAGATGCTTTTCAGGCTTTGCAGGCAAAAAGAACCACCTCTTCTTCTTGACCAATCATTTTCTAACTTGTTAGTAATTTGGGTAGAACAAAAGCAGGGGAAGTACGATGATATGTAATAATTGAACTGAAGTGCCCCACTTCCTCTCTTCTTTATGAGTATCATACAGTGGGCACGAGTCGAAGAAAAACCAACTCTGGTGATACAGCATTCATATCGCTTCAGTTGCGTGAAGCTAACGTAACTTGAATGCAGATTGGAGCCAGGGTCAACCGTCCGTTGGACAAAGTCCAACGCGACGACGAGAGTAATGCCGAGAGTGAACGTACGCACGGAGACACAGACGGCTCGCGGGTGGCGAGAGTGAATGCCGGCGCGGAGAGCGGTGAACATCGGTCCAACGTCGCTCCAATATCGGTCCAACGTAACGGTTGACCCTGGTTGGAGCTCGGCTGAAGGGCTCGAAAGAAGGGAGTATGAACCTGCGAGTGAAACTCCTTTAGTCGATGTTGGGTTATGAAGGAGGGGTCGGTACCATTTAAAGTTAGGGGTAACCGTAACCAAGGATGACACTGGGGAGGTTTAGGTGCCTTATATCCTTCTCAACGCTGATATTTCAAGTATGTCACTGGAATTATTGGACTTGATGGCGTTATGCTAAGCTTGCGAATTAGGGAGGTACGGTGAAGCACAGCAGTTACTGTACTTCGAATACTGTACTTTCAAAATAAAGGCGTTAAAGGCCGATGTCAGACTTTGCGAATCGCTAGTAGCGAATCGCGCGATTCGCAAAGTCTGACATCGGCCAAAAGGTGATCGCAGATCAGGTTATTGGGTGGTCATGCACAAATCACAAATCGAGCCGCCCATCTTCATTGACTCGTCGACACGTGCCATTTTCGCCAAAGCGATTCCTCGGTCACTCTCTTATTTAATTTTTTCGTCCTTTTCATTTCATTCATTCATCTGTTATATGAGCTTTTCGGGTTTAGTGGGCCAGCCATAACGGTTTGCGATTTTCGAGGTCCTTCTGCCCACCTCAATCACTTTCGTGGATCAGCTCCCTATACGGAAGCCATCATTGCTAACTAACTTCATCTTCCAAATATCCGATAAACGAAAGATGGGGAAGGCTGTAGCTGCAAAATTACGAAGTCTTCGAAATTCTCAAGACTTGTGCTCTTTTCAGTGGTTACTAAAATTGATGGTGCATGCTAGTTTTCTGCAGGTCGATTTTCGGATACGATAGGCGCGAAATGTATTCACGTGGAGACTTGTACTCACCGCTATGACGTAACGAGAAACCACATTCCAGTTTTCATGCATGTCAAGTGAGTCGCCTCACCCCTACCCCCTATATAGGGTACGGCCTCATCCCCTGAACTGGCTACAATCCCCCTGACTCACGAATTCCTTGCTTCCCACTGCAGGGCACGGCACCTTACCGACCCTTCCAACCCTCTTCCCATCTACCCCTCTTCACACTTTATTCGATCCTCGTCGTGAAAGATTCCTCAGCGCACGCGTCACCCCTTTCGAATTTCTCTACGTCCTCGAGCTACTGCTTGCCACACTAATTACGGTTAAAAGTTCAAAGATAAAACTTTTGGCGATGCTATTCCGGGGTGCGCTAGACATTGTAGCTATTAGTGACTGAATTAGCAATTAGAGGATCGACCCCGGCCATTTTTTCTTCTTCTATTTCTGTTTTCTCAAACCACTCAGAAATGCAAAACGCTTTCATGTTTCATGCGCGTGTCCTTATAAAACTCGAATAATCATTCTGAAAAAGCGTTCTACGCCCCCCCAAAAAAAAAACTCACGCTCTCAGCTCTCACCTATGTGTGTGAAAAAGATCCTCCCTTACCATTAACTGTCTCGAGAGGTGTGCACAGTTACCGGCCAAGCCTCTGTGAGAAAAATACCCCATGGCTAAACAATAGCATCATTCTCTACGGATTCTTTAAATAGAATTTCTCAATACCTTGACGGATTCATAAACAAATAATAATACTTGATCATCCCTCTTCTGTTGATGTCCCGAATATGTTAATGACGTAGGTTTTTTTAGTAAATGTTTATACGCATCGTCTGATCGGCCACATTGCGATCACGTATCTCTCCAACTGGACCTACGCTAGCAGCACTTTATCTGGCCAAGGTAAGTCAAAATGCACCAGGACTATTGTATAGTAATGATAAGTAATACCCTGAACTGTGAAGGAAAAGAGTGCAAAGTACTGGAACGGTTTGTAATTGTCATAGCCTCGTTTGAATAGCATGCCAAGATTAAAGAAAATTTTGAGTGCAGTCAGTTCTTGTTATGGGAAGAATAAAACACTCCAGTAAGCATGTAAACAGGAAATTTTCCACAAGGAATGTTCTCCTTCTTCGACCTCCGTATTGTTCGTGGAGTCCTTTAATGAAATCGTTCAGTATCCGGTCTGCGAGCTTGAAGTAGATCTCTTCCAAGTACAGTTTCTCAATGACTGGGTCGCAGTGATCGATCCAGCATCGATCCCTCTATCTACTTATCCCATTTATCCAAAAATCTTTTGCTTCCTCTCCCTCACGTTTGTCCCGCGCAGTAACTGTTAGCCGTCGCCACTTGGTCATGTACAAGGCATCTTCTGTAGTACCTAGACTTCAGTGAGGTCCTTCTTCATAACAACCCTCGTTTGGGGCTCGTCTCGCTCCTTGCCTTGCACTTCGAAGTCCCATCGCTGTTCTTATCGGATGGTCCTGTGGCCTCCTTAGCACGTGCCCATACCATCGCAGACGCTGTTCCCGTACCTTCAGCTGGACAGGGGCAGTCTGCATGACCGCTCTGACATCCTCGTTTCTGACCCTGTCCAGTCGCGTCCAGCCGCAGGCCCATCTCAGCATCCTCATCTCAGCGGAGTGAAGCTGCCTTTCGTGATTCTTGTTCAGGGGCCAGCACTCGCTGCCGTATAGCGCGCAGGCACCACTGTCCGGTACACCTTCCCTTTGAGCGTTCTGGAGCACCTTCGATCGCAGAGGATTCCAGTGGACTCCCTCCATTTCATCCATGCAGCGTTGACCGAGCCTTCACTGCCTGATCCACACTCCGTCGGCTGCCAGATCGCTCCCAAGGTATCGGAAGTCCTCCACTCTTTCGATGTCTTCCCCATGGCCATCCGTAATCGGCTCTAAACCTCTGTAATGTGTGCTGTCAGGGCACTGTCGTCAGTCTAGAGGATCCACAGTTGCCCATCCGTCACTCCCTGACATCTACATTTTGATAGGAGGAAGAGGAAAGAGCTCAGAGCCAACTCCTTGGTGTGCCCCATCCGTTATGTCCACTTCCCCTCGTCATGCCGTGATGAGGTGCGTATAACTGCTCAGGTTTCTTCATACACGTCCTTCCCCAGAAAGATTAGGTGTTCTGATACGACGGTGATATAAAAAATAAACATATGCCCTAATAGAGCAGAAAAGAAGCTCATGAAAGACACATTACAGATCAAAACAACTGGTTTCCAAAGAAGAAAAATATGAGTTTTAACAGAAAATTTTCCTTCGAAAACAGAAACCGCAAAATTTCGAGATGACCTAATATAAAGTGTCCATCGCTGTGTTCTTCTTCTCGGTGACAGTAGCTTCGCAAGCCTCTTGCAGCTCTTGTAGACAGCAAAGTCCTCTAGTCTCCGAGTCTTCTGGCAGCGTTTGGATGCTCTTCCCACTTAACAGTTGAATAGACTTCTTCGTTCTAGAACCACGCGCGTAGTCTTCCCCGATTCCACTTCATCTCTCGCCTAGTATCTCCTTGACGCATCGAAGGATGATCTCAGCCGCTGTGCTGGCCCATCAGGATCTGGGAGGCCCCTCCCAGAATCCTTCGTTTGAGGTCGTTCTTTTCCGCTCGGTGCAACTTCCACCACCGGATTCTCCTCTCGGTTCTTACCCTTGTCTTCTTGGGGAGGTCTATGGCAATGTCTGCCAGGAGGGGCCTGTGCTGTGGAGCCAGTTCTTCGCCAGGGAGTACCTTGATTACTTTTCTAAGAGATGATCTTCATAAAGTAAGGGATCATGATCTAGGGGATGAACACGTATCTTTAGGGTCTACTTTTTCACGAAAAACGTGCTACAGACCGCCAGATTCTGGGCTGCAGCCGGGATAAGGATCCTCTCTTTTCTGTGTTTCGTACACCTATCCACTACCTCCGTGCGCTCTGCCGATGTGACAATTCAGGTCACCTGCTGTGGTTATGTAATCGCCTTCTGAAGCAGGGTCAACCCTATCGTTGTTACTCTTTGGAAATTTTTTACGACCCCCCCCCCTTCATGGGTGATTTGATACGACCCCCCTTGTATGTGACACTTGTGTAGAGACAGTGTTTACCATCAATATTTATTTCTACGTAAGTCATCAAAGATGAAACTTTAGCAAAATCCACGACAGATATTCATCGCTGCTTCCAACACGAAAAAATGAGATGCATTCAAAGATATCCGTGTACTCCAAAGGGTTACCAAACTAGGAGATGAAATAAACTGAACCAGTGACCGGAATATTGACAATATTACCTGATAAAAACTTATGAGAAGTCAGAAAAAATTATCGCTCCAATAAAAACTTATGAGAAGTCAGAAAAAATTATCGCTCCAATTGAAATACTGAAATCCTTCACGTTCTTCAATTGCAACACAATTTTTACACCCCTCTTTCTAAGGCTATAACTTCCTTCATATTCGAGCTTCTGCGCCGAAGTGATTTGATTTGGAAAATTCAAATTATTCTCTCTCCAACCATGGGTAAAAATTCTTCGAAAGTTAATTTAATAAAAATTTAGTACGTTGTTACTTTTTTCTGTGCAAAGGCGACTTTTTGACCTTCAAACGATCATAACTTCCTTAAAAGTCATTCATTTGGGAAGCTGAACACGTATAATAAACTACAGGTTTCAAGCTTTCTAACGAGCACCCAAGCGTTTCCTGAAAGATCAGCAGTTCAAAAATTAGTCCCGTTGTTACTTTTTATTTTGAGGGGTATTCTTCAAGCCATTTTCTCGAAAACGCGAGTTTTCTTAGGTTTCAC